ATCACACACACACTGACAATATGGATTCATGTCGGCGTTTACATGCAGTCCAGCAAGCCTTCTCACCCGTCCACGATTGTTGACGCTCGTCTCGGCAGGCCGGCGTCCAAAGGGATGGATTGCGCAGAAGTACAGAATTTTCACAGCCGATCGAGGCTCACAGTTTTCAACCTTTAACCTCTTCTACCGACAAGGCAGCACAGGGCAAAAGGGTAAGTTTTATCTTGCGAACTTTCCAAAGTACACTTTTCCACTTTATCTGGTTTGCGACTGGTTTAGACTTACCCCTTGCCATAGCCTGGTCTGCAGGAGGGAGAGACGAGTTCTTGTGCGTCTCTGCCTAAACACATTGATGCATGTGTGTGAGGGTATGCTGGCTTGAGGGTAGTGGGCTTGAGGGATCAAAGGTGGCCGACAAAACCTCCAACCGATTCCAACGACCCCAGTAATTTTGCTTCCACGAGCGCTTAAGATGGTAGTCGGCCCTCTGATGGCCTGAATTGCCAGGCAACCGGTGATGCTACAATCTTCAAGAGGTTCTATGTCATTTGTGAATCCCTCGTCAGGCCTGTCCGCATGCAAACCTGTGTCATGACGTCTTTTCTCGCATTGTGCTTGGGCTGAGGAGAAGTTAGGAAGCTGGTGTATCTTCGAGGAGCTCGGCAATTGCACAAGGAAACCAGAGAGGGCCAATTAGGATGGCGATAAAGGCCTCTTGTGACTGGCATTTTGCAGACGTTCAAGCCCATTCTTGGATCAAAGCCTACGGGCAGGAGGTTGAAATGACTCTAAAGCAAAACTCAGCATTGTCGTTTCGGTTGGATGCACCCATTAGACAAGTAAAATATCAATCGCTTATAGGCCTTTGGCCTCCGGCATGCAGGCCAGTCATTAGGTTCAGCTCAAGGTAGCCCCAATTTTCTGATCAACTGAATGGACCACAAATGCCTACTGCTTCAAATCCTTATTTAATTATCCACACTCAAATAAGTGAACGATTGCCTGTACCAGATCGGACTTGGTATCGTCCTTCTGGCAGTGATTTCTGGGCAAACCGATGCTGAAAAAGGCGAAAACCTGATCTTCCCACGGAGTCTAGCCTCGTCCAGAGCTGATCGGAACTTCCACTTTGCTCGACTTCTGTACTCAGGCTCAACAGGGTCTGGAGCCAGAATTGACGTCCCTGTCCAAAGAGATGAATGCCTATGTAACCATCGTACAACTTTAGGGTCACTGAGTTTGCTTCGATCACTCGACTGGTGGCATCCGTCAGCACGATTCGATGGGAACCACCAAAGGCGTTTCCACCCCACCAGCCATAAGCAAGTGCTTTGATAGACGAGGTTATCGCATGAGTAGGATAGACACTATTTCAGTCATTTTAACTGCAATTAAGATTAAGCATATGCTTATAGTGCAAAGTTTGTCCGTTAAAAAAAGTTAAACTACTTTCAAGTCACGATCAAGCAGGCTATACGCAAATGTTGATTTACTTGACATTCTGTCTGAAAAAGAGAATGGAAAGAATCGTAAAGTGACCGTAACGGAAAAAGAAGAAGGATTGCCTTGCCTGTTTGACTGTGAATCTGCGCAAAAAAGGGGTTCTCGACATACCGGTCTACAGTCCCGATGAATCCATCGCAGGATAGTGTGCCAAAGAGAATTTCACGTAAACAAATCCACAATCACAGTCCATTAAAGTGGAATTACAATTCTCTTCGACTAAATGGAATAGAAAATAACATGACACCTTTATTGTTGTTCTACTTTTAAATTTGAATGAATGTTTTAGCGGTAAAGAGTTTGTCAATTAGTCCCACCGAAAACCAAATGAGGATTGCTTTGCAGTCAAGTCTGTTGG